AGAGTCCGCCCGATCCGTCTCTTTAGGGTTTCAGCCCAGCCCAGCCCCTCCCATCCCATCCATCGCTATCATGGGGTCGAGTCGTCAGGGCATCGAGTGGCCGCGAGTGGCCCGAGTGCAACCAACGCTGCGCCACTTGGCCACGATTCCATTCAGCTGTTATCATGGCAGCCTCCAGTAGCCCATCTCCACCCTGCTTGATTTAATCTATTTGCGTAATCAAAGGAAAGACTTGACTTTTTACTGTTTGTCGTGAAACAACATTAAATATGAGCCCCAGTCAGCCAGCCAGTCAGCCAGCCAGCCAGAGCTCGGTACGTGGCTATCGTGTTGTATCAGCGTTGATGATCTGCAGTTCCCTCTCACGCACACATGTCCCATACGAGTACGAGTACGAGTACGAGAGGCAACGCAAGTGGGGCTACGCCTTCTTTACACTGTTCTCGGGGCGGCGTAGGGCAGAGCAAAGCAGAGCGAGACAAGTGCAGCAGTGTCGCCAGGATACTGAACGATGCGATGCGATAACCGCATCGGTTATCTTACAGAGGTAGGGACAGATGCAGGTGTAGATGCAGATGCAGATGCATGGCCTGGTCGGGAGGGGAGGGGATGGATTGATGGGCGCCGTGTGGTGGGATACAGTAGTAGCAGAGACAACGACACATCCGCATCACAAAGCTTTCAATGCGGTTGGCTTGGCTTGGGGTTGGGTTTGTTGTGGTGGGTCTGGCAGGCTGGTAGGTGGCATAGCCCTAGCTAGTTTGAATGCTTGGAATTGGGAGCGGGACTAAAACTGGAACTGAGAACGATAGCGGGACAGAGAGCGGCAGCGACCGTAGTGTTGTGGCTGTGCTGTGTCCGCAGCCAGAATGTGTGTGAGAGTATCAGATTTCGAGCCCTCGAAAACATAATCATATATTAGGCGTTGTCACTTTGACATTTCGCCTGCTCTTTTACATGGCAATAATCATAATTCATTTTTCTCTCGCTGCCGCTCCCGCTCCCCCAGCCAGCCAGCCGGCCGTACGGTCCGCTGGTCTCGGCTTTAGGGCGCAGGAGGGCGTGTCAGGACGGTGGTGGAGCCCATGAAATAAAGTGCTGTGGAATGAACTCAGCTGAAGCTGAAGCTGTACGAGTAGTCTGAAACAGTTTTATGAGTTGGTAGCAGGGACTCCGCCGTCCCCGTCCCCGTCCCCGTCTCCGGCCGTAGCTGCCTGCATCCATGTTTAATATTATTTATGGGGCTCGCGTCTCCCGCAGCAGCACAAGGTACATGCATATATGTATGTATGCATGTACATATGCTGCCTCGCCTGAAGAACGAACCCGAGTGAAAGATCTCGGGTGAGAGTCGCCGTAGTTGCCGTCGTCGCGACTCGTGTAGCGACAAGATGTGCGACAAAGCGAAATGACAAAAATCTCGGCGTCACATCCCAAATAATATTCAAGAAAATGAAGGAGGAGAGTGAGAACTGGAACGGGAACTGGAACGGGAACGGTAGGCGAGGGGCCTGGTCTTGAAGTACGCTCTACGAGTATATATGAATATGATAAATTTATATGGAATTGTTTATGGTGTCTACCCTGGCCTGGCCTGGCCTGGCCTGGCCCGGCCTGGCTGTTTATTTTTGCCAGGAGCCCATCTAGCACTCCAAAATGTGAGAATGAGTATGTTGAGCGAAGTTGAAACTGAAGTGAAATGCGCCAATTATTTTGATTAATGTCAAAGAAATCGCGTGTCTTGCGCATTTGATGTTGCATTTCCTTTCCCCTTTCCCCATTCCTTGACTCTCCTCTCCTTTCCTTTGCCGTCTGCTCCCAGGAAAACGCTGGCACCATGGCACACAGTCGTCATCCGCAATGCGGGCTCCACTCGTCAATTTTGGCACGAAAGCAGCAACTCCCCAATGATTATGGTGTTGCTGGTAATCTTTGATCTGTCATTTGCGAAAGTGAAAACAGTAGCCGCCAGGCAGGCCACAGATCGAAGCTCAAAACGAAAACGAAGACGAAGACGCAGGCGTACACGATGACGATGACGATGTTGGGATGGCGATGTCGATGCTGATGCTGATGATGAGTAGGCGTTTGAATTTGAGGGCCACTCATTGTTGGGGACCTGGTCTGATTCGTCTGGGTGCCCGTGTCCGTGATTACTGGCATAGCAGACAGCAGACAGTAGCCGCCAGCTTCCTGCCAAACATATTATTAGTTATGAAATTATAATTCTGTTGGGGGAAGCCGACACAAATATACATACAGACACACATATGTATGCACTATGTATATATTTAATATTTTTATAAATATCATGCCGAATAATTGTTTCGAGTTGCGGGGGTGCAGAGAGGAGTATACCATACAATACTTGCCTGGCTTTGTCAATACCTATAGAATATCCATACATAGAGGATTTATTTTAACAAATATAAACATATTTATTTATTTTTTTTCTTACAGTTTTTTCGGTACTCGCCGTTGCTCCCGCTGTCTGGCTTCCATCAGCTCCAATGAGCTAGTGATGCGCGCACGGAACCTGGTCTTTCATGTGAATTGCTTCTGCTGCACGGTCTGCCACACGCCCCTGACCAAGGGCGACCAGTACGGCATCATCGATGCACTCATATACTGCAGGTAAGCCTCGCCCGACAGCCGCGAATCGCTCTATACGCCAATAGCACTCACTTTGTCCATTGTCCAACAGAACGCACTACAGTATAGCGAGGGAGGGAGACGCCGCCTCGTCCAGCATGAGTGCCACGTATCCATACAGCTCGCAGTTCGGGTCGCCGCACAATGACTCGTCGAGCCCACACTCGGATCCAAGTCGGAGTATTGTTCCTACGGGCATCTTTGTGCCCACATCACATGTCATCACCGGGTTGCCGCAGCCGGCGCGGCAGAAGGGCAGACCGCGCAAGCGCAAGCCCAAGGACATCGAGGCGTTCACCGCGAATATAGGTATGTTTGGCTATGGTGGGCCATAGGTTGTAAATTCCGAACAGTTTCGAGGTACGAGTGAGGGGGCCATAAAAGCAGCAGCATGCAGCGTGCAACATGCCCCGGCCGCGGTCTTTATGGCCACTGGAGCTGGGATATTGGCGCCATTGAGGCATTAGCAATGGCAGAAGCAGCTTTTATGGGTCTTCGTCATAAAACTCGGAAGGAGCTGTAAAAGATTCTACAAGAGTTTCTGGATTGATTGCAGATCTCAACACAGAATACGTGGACTTTGGCCGAGGATCGCACATGGGCTCCTCGTCGCGCACCAAGCGCATGCGCACCTCATTCAAGCACCACCAGCTGCGCACCATGAAGTCCTACTTTGCCATCAATCACAATCCAGATGCCAAGGATCTGAAGCAGTTGTCGCAGAAAACGGGTTTACCAAAGAGAGTCCTACAGGTGAGTTTTTTTTTGCCCAGCCCCCCTCCCACCTGATGACAGTTTCACATTTGCAACGCTTCCCATTCCTATTCCCCATAGGTCTGGTTTCAAAATGCTCGGGCCAAATGGCGCCGCATGATGATGAAGCAGGATGGCAGTGGCATGCTCGAGAAGGGAGACGGCACTCTGGACCTGGACAGCATCTCGGTTCATAGTCCGACATCGTTTATAATGGGCGGACCCAATAGCACGCCGCCCCACAACATGGACTAACATCTGCTCAGCGAAAACGGGAACGATGCTGCCTACCACATGGAGCTTGTGCGCCTCCGCCAAAGCTTCCCCTGTCCCTGTGCTGGTTCCGTCCGGAACCAAAGCCTATTGGTGGATCTGTTGAGTGGCAGTGACAATTAGATCGTGTGGGACCCGAGTCGGGCATACCACATTCAAAACAAACGCATATACTACCCCTAGAGAATGTTGTTAGACAAGCTAGCTAGCTGCCTGCCTAGCCTAGCCCAGCCTAGCCTAGCCTAGCCTAGCTGTTGAAAAGCGCATAACTTATGTATTTTTATAGTCGCTTCTAGCTCGTTGCCAGCACTAAATATAACTGACTGGGTTTCAGACGACAGCTCAGCTCCATTGACTGCTCCATGGCTTTCGGTAGTAGGTATTTTTGCGCTGCAGGAGGGCATCCCTCATCCCCGATCCCCGATCCCCGTGTTGTTTCTATTTCTATCGTTCATTTGTAAATATGTACTGAAACCTTATAGCATATATGTACTGGCTTAGACACCGGATATTATTGTTAATATATTAATATTATTTATAGCGTACACGTACACTTCATCACACATACATATGTATATAAAATGCATATATCTATATAAATGTGACCACAAATATATTTATATGTATTTAATATTTATTGCCCAAATTTAATAGTTAGAGATGAATTTAGTTTAGCGAGAAGCGGTCTATAAATTATAGTGCATATATCGTACGAGCAGAATAACTGTACTCCTCCACTTGCTTCAAACACGGCCGACAGATGGAGATTGAAACGCGATGAAAACGATACTGACATCAAGTTATGAGCAATGACATATGTATAACCGAAGCAAAGTGAGCAACAAGAGATTTGTACTTACGAAATAGTTTAACCATAAGTCGTACCATAGAAGCCAAATAAAAATTATTAAAACAATCGAAGATGTACACTCGTTTAATCATCACTTAATCGTATTCAAGAGAAGCTTTAATTAGGTTCGCGCAAATCGAAATTTTCAAGCCCAATACAACAGAGCCACAGAAAATGATCCCCCTTCCGTCTGGACAAGGTGGTAGGCAATCTCCTACATAAATGTACTTTATGTCGCTGAATCTGAATCCGAGGTTGGTTATTTCCAAATGAATGCACAGTTTGACTTTTGGACAAGTTTTATATATAGCGATCGAAGCTCCAGCTACCGGGAGTTGCAGTCCATTCTTTTATGGCCCCCCACGCCAAATCGGCGTCCCATAATTACCCAACAAAATCATAAATTGATAATAAATATGCGTCCTAAATCTAGACACAATTTCAAAACAAGAAAGAATTACATCACCGTATGTACCACATGTGAAAAATAATTTATTACAAAATATTAAAAATTAATTGAGAGTGAGATTGAGAGTGCTGTATTTTTGCAGCTTCACAACTTCACAACTAGAATAATCAATCTCAGTACATGCAGCTGTTAATATGCCAAAAAAATATATATATTTATCCGTGCATTATTTAGATTCGTAACTTTCAAAAACTGAATATAAAAAATGGATTTCTCTAATACAAGGGGTTTGTTAGCGTTTTTTGTTTGCTTTTGTACCTATTTCTTGTGTAAAAACACAAGAATAAATGTCTTTTATAACTGTCATGAACAATATCAAGTAGCTTAGAGTGCGTACAGCTAAGTTGCTTAACGAGCGCAGATAAGGCAAATTTTATAAACAATTCAAGGCGCTATCAAGCCCATCAATGTCGGTATTGATGTATGTTGCGCTCGCTCAATCGACCCACTAGAAAATTAGTCGGGCCGCTGGTGATCTCTAAATTTGTGACACCTTGTAACACACAGCTGCAACAGCTCTATAATTATGCAGTTCAGCTCCACCATGTGCATTTTAGTTGGGACTAGTTAAGGATTAATTCAACTAGGAATTTCTAAGCATATGTAGTATGTTCTTGCTATGTTTGAGTGTACGAGTATGAGTGTGGTTTACATTTGTGAGTGCGTTAAATTTAAATACATTTATACCTAGAGAGCATGTATTGCCGGTGGCAATGAGCACTACTTAGCTGCTGTTCTTGACGCCCAAAAAGGCAGAACTCTCCCCGATTCCTTCCCCCTGCTGCTCTGTGGCGTCATCACAGCCAGTTGGACTCTTTGTCACAGCGGCCATGGCCTCACGGCGCTGACGCTTCATCTCCAGCAATTGCTTCCTCTGGGCTTCACGTCGCAGTGCTGCCAGCGAATTCGCTGTAGCTGATTTCGATCCATTTGCTTTGTTAGTCGATCCGGCAGTTTTCGCTTTCAAATTTCCCGTCTTTGCAGATTTTATCGTTTTGGTGGACACCGTCTCTACCGTGGGCGGTTCAGCTGTGTCCTGAAAATACCAACACAAACGATTATTACAAATGCCATGCTCACGTATCAGTACTTACCTTCCAATCGTTCATTTTAAGCTGATCAATATCGGCGAATATGGAATCAACCTGCTCCACTTGTAAATACACCATGTCCCAGAATCCTTGCAAATCATCCACTGTTGTGGGAAACGTGTCCTCTGGTGAGGGATTCAAATTGTTGTGACATAAGCCTGTAAACCAGAAACAAGCGAAATAAATGGCATCCTATTGGGAAAAAAAATCTGCTAGCCACGCACCTTCAAATTGTTTCATTTTCTTCGAGGCCAAAAGACGGGCCTTTCCAGAGGCCGACCGTAGCAATCCAAAGGTGTCCTCTGTGATAGCGGGATTATTCTGCGGAAATTGAAGTTGCAAATAATTAATAAACGAACAACTCAAATAAACATCATGTCTCTCACAGCCAAGGCGTCTGTGTACTTTTCAGCAAGGGCGGCCAGCGCAAGCAGACGATCCTGTTCGCCTTTAAGTATTTTAAGAAAATGATTGCCATCCTTTTCCATTTGGGGGGCTGTAATAATTGTTGTGTTGCCAACATACTGCTCTGAATCCAATTGGGGAAATTTTACGGGCTCGTGGTCAACAACATCTACAGCAGCTGGTGCCGACAGTGGTTCCCCAGTAGCCAGATTCACCTCTAAAGAGGCTGTGGATCGCGGCACATTTCGCTTCGGCGATACCGTGGGTAACTGGGCACGGAACTCATGACTTAGGTGCCTGAAAACAGGCAAGTCCACGTCACCGTTTTTGTCTGTTGAAGGCTCCTCTATCTGTCGCATCGTTGCTGTCTGGGAGCAGTTATTGTGCAGCTTTTTCCGAAATTCTCCGTAGTCTTTGCTGGGAGAGAGCTGTTTAAATTTGCGCGCCAATTCAGAGTTTTGCGGGCACTCCACTTCAAGCTGATGCTTTGACGCCCACGATGAGGATGGTGAATTGTCCCGGACATGCTTCTTGGGGCTGTAGAAGCCCTGAGTCAAAGCACTTGCCCCATACAGGCGCTCCACACGCTGCTTTATGAAGCTGCTAGTTGAGCCATTTTTGCCGCTGCCGCTGCCGTGTCCATTGGCACTGCCATTACATTGGCCGATACCAGAATCTGCTCCATTCTCCGGACTGTGCCCCTCGACCAGGCTGTACTTGCTGGGCGTACAGGTCTGTTTGATGACAGGCATGCTATTGAGGATTGGGGCCGCCAGGGAATTGTTGCGCTTGCAATACTGCAGACTACTGGTGGAGGGGCGGATCGGTGAGACCTCGCGCGACTTGTTGATGTCTTGGCGGATCTTCGAGTCGTAGGTGGTTAGATTCGAGTATCCGTTAACGCTGCAGGCCAAGTTCAAGTAGCTAGGCTTCTTCTCAGCTGCAGCGGTGGCGGTGGCGTTGATGACAATGGAAGAGGCTTCAGCGCAAGCATCGATGTCAACATCGACGCCTGCAGCGTTCGGCTCATTGGCGGATTCTACGGCAACAGGTGACAGCACCATACGCACCAAGCCCGTCTCGGGATCTACAAAGGCGGTTGCGGTGTGCTGTAACTGCTGCGGCGATCGCAGAATGCAGCGCTCACGTAAGTTTGCGGTGAACTCGCGTGTTATGTCCTTCACAGAGAGCGGCGTTGGGAAGTTCAGGCTGCCACTGGTATCTGCAATGTGCCAGAGAACGGAGATTCAGAGTTAGTTTCGTTGGCCGATCAAGTCGCGAATTAACGCAAGCAAAGAAACAATAAGTACAGCAAAGAGCAGGCAGAAGAAGCTGAAACGCAAAACAAAACGAAAACCAATAAATAAACTTGAGGCAGCATTCAGATTGAGGTTAGGTTCGGCAGCAACCCATATACCATCATATACCATATACCTGATATATCGGAAGAGTCCGCATCTACATCGAGTGAACAGCTGCCAATGGAGGAGTCCAAGCTGCGATCCATGGGAACTTTGGCTTTGCGTTATGGAATCTGGGTTCTGGGAGCTTTCACAATTCTAAAATTTGTGGGGAATAATATAACAGATTGTTGACTTCCGGAAGCCCAGGCGAAACGCTCGCTATCTTTTGCTCACAACCAAATGAACGCCCATTCCAAATTTCTGTTTTACTGTGCACTCGGAACGGCGCTGCGCTCCGAAGAGAAATGGAATTATTTGTGTATTCGTTAAAACAAAGCACCAAGCACTTGGTTGGTGGTTGGCGGAGGCACAGGCAACTCGCGAACGAGGGCGGTGGCAATTATTTGCCATTTATGCAAAGCGGAAACTCGACTGACTGCTGATCGTTGCGATCGCTCTTTTTGGGCACCAGACTGCTGCGACAAATGACCAATCTGTGAATTGTGACTGTGTTGGGGTCTCGAGGGCAACAATATCGAGCTGAAGATCAATAGAAACGACTTGGCTTAGCTGCTCTCCAGTTTCATGCCGTGCATGTGTATACGTCTGAATGTATGCATGCACATATTGTTGCTACCGCGATCGACAGCTCAGAAGATGGGAGCAGCTCTAACGGCACTGTCATCTACATTTCCAGTTCCGCTTTGGTAACTTTTTGCCGTTGCTTAGACACTCCGTTCCTTAGTCTCGTTGTTGGAACTAATAATTGGCACCAAAAATCAACTCGGCCACAAACCGACACAGACGCAAACGGAGTAAAATATGTACATACATACAGCAGGCAAGACATACTCACACAACTATTTATAATCCGGCACAACGGAAAAGACGGGAAAGGCGAACGCAACAGAAAACATGACGATGATGATGTCGCCTGGTATTTAGAGTTGAGTTTGCAAACCAACCCAAGACGACAGAAACACAAAATGAAACAGACGGAGCACTCACACGCAATATGTTCTATTTTAGTCTCTAGTATGTACTATTTATTATAATGACCTTACAAAGAAACACAGTGCAAGCTCCTGGTGTAGAAGGGCCCAAGTCGATTGCCTCCAGTTTAATTTATTGGAAAAATATGAAAAATTGCGAATGAAAACACTTGGCAAGTAGAAAAACTATCGCTATCGGCTTAATTTATAGCGGTGGCAAGTGTTCGATGGCTGCTAACTATCGGTGTGTTTTTTCAACTATCGACTGGTTGGAACTGCGAACTATCGGTGTATAAATAAGATTCAATTTAGATTGATTAATATAAAATATAATCTACTGCAGTTTCGTGAATGATCCAGCTATCAAATCAATCAATCTAGTCTCATACGGCAATAATACAAATTTCATTGAAACCCCGATACTATTGATGGTATCGAGACATCGCCAGCATCGATAGTTTCCCCGCTCAGCTCTAATAACTGGTAGAGTTATGCTCTTTAAAGGCCGAACATTAATTTATTTTCAGACCGACTTCTGATATCTATACAACTTTACTTAAACATAAAAAGTAACCTACTTGCCGGCCGCACTTTGTAACACTATATCAACTACAACTACATTATTCTTGGCCTCTTTGTGCCGCCACCAACGACCCAGTCGATGCTCCTGTCCGACGCCCACGTAAAGTTTAGTGCCTTCGGCATTAAAAGTAAGGCCATTAACGAAGCCAATTATGGGTATGCTTTGAATCTGTTGCAACTTGCGGGCATTGGGATTCGTTTGCCAGAGTTTCACAAAGCCATCACAGGAGCCTGCATAGGATAGAGAATGTAAGACAAGGTGGAAATATAAATGGAAGAATCCAGCCAACCTGTTGCCACTAAATCCGTATTGACCACTACAGCAATGGCTGTTATCCAGTTGGCGACGCCGTTTTCTCCCACACCATGGGCCAGTTGTGTCGTGCAAATTGGTTTCTTCTTTAGGGCGCTCCACAAGCTGATTGCACTGCAAAAGTTTAGAAATGTTAGCAGTCTGCCATGGGCGATATTTAATCTTGTATACCCATCCACACCACCGGACACAAAGTGCTCATCGTTCATTAGTTTGACACACTCAATGCTGTCCCTGTGTCCATTGTAGATCAGCTGCGATTCCTCTGTAATCTTCCAAATTCGCAAGGAACAATCCGAACCGCCTGCGGTAATGGCCCGCTCTCGACTCAGGGCATCTATGCTGGTGACTCCAGTTTGATGACCAAATCTGGGGATCAAATGGTTTAAAATCTGCTTATTTGTTTACACTGTCCGTCACCTACAAACTCTCCACATAGGCCATCTCGTCCAGGGACCAAATCTTCACAGAACGATCCTTAGCTGCCGAGTACAAGTCGTGCGTGCCCTTGCGAAAGACCAGGCCTGCAACACTATCTCTGTGACCCTTCAGTGTCTTTACGTGCTTCATCGTTTGTGGACACCAGATTTGAATGTGAGGACCGCCTTCGGCCAACGCCATATACTTCATGTCCGTGGACAGACAGATGGCGATGACATGGGAGCGTCTCTTCTTGCCAGTTTCGGGCTCTTCTCGGTGTCCCAAAACATCACATTTGTCCAAGACCTTTCCACTCTGCGTGCACCATTTCAGGACAAACTGAGATTTGGCTCCCGCATAGAGGAATTTGCCGTCTGGACTGAGCGCCAGTGCACAGATTGGCGTGTGGTGGAGTTTGTGTTTGAGGACACTTGTCGCTTCATTGGTTTTCAGGCTGCCGGCGATGTTCCGTCGCAGTTTCCCCACACTATCCAAGTAGTCAGTCTGCAGACGCTGCTCGACACTCTGGCCCAGCTCCTTATCTTCGGCGCGTTCCGACTCTTGCTTCTCAATCTCCGACAGATACTGCTTGGCCAGGCGCAGACGTTTGTCCTGAGCCGTCTCCTCCTCGCCCTCGTCGGAAGAGAAGGCCAAAGCGTTGTGGCCTCCGTCGCCCAGGTCACTGTTGTACTCCTCATCATCGCTTGCGATCTCCTCATCCTTTTCTTTAGGACGCCGTTGCTTCTTTGGCACTGGCCCTTCTGCTCGGGCATTCTGGAAGCCTTTCCCCGATTTTGCTGCTGTTTTGACGCCTTTACCTTTTGTAGCTGCGGGATTCTTTTTCAAACATTAAAGGAACGTTTCTTCATAATCGGTTTTTAGCTTACCTTCCGTTTTTTGTTGGCTTTGGCGCCGGCTTTTAAAAAAAAGGACGATGACATCTTGATAATATACCAGTGCTTGGGCTTTAATTCAATATATTTATAATAAAAAACTTTGTTTTAAACGCCGCACCACCACGTGCATACTATAAAGCGTTAGGGATTTTCTGGTACATAGCAACAGCTGTTTCGAAGGTGGCCATTTCTGTGGTCTGGCAGCTCTGTTTTGGGCGCGTATTCAAACATGAGTAGCGCCAAGTATGTATTCTCTCGAGTATTTTTAGCTGCATTAAATTGTAAAAAAATTAAAAATAACATTTTTATATGATACTAATATACTTTATTCAGAATATTTATGAATATAATTTAAATACGGATAACAATAAATATACGATTAAAAAGTAATCAAGTAATTTGGTTAATTCAGTTTTTTTATTTATTCTTTTCTATCAAATTAGCATATACAAAAAAATAAGCAGTCCTAGGAAAGCATGTGTATGTGACTCTTGTAGGGTATTCTAGTTCGTTTTCCTGTGTTGAAAAATGACCATAAAGTATGTTATTCAGTTTTTAGATTGCAATTGTTTTTTTTTTTTTTTTTTATTAAATTTTGCCATTGTTTTCTTTTTGTAAAAAATTATGAAGACGAATGTGTATGGGCTAGAGACTCCTTGGTGGGGAGGAGAGCTCGGCCCCTAGTGCGTAATGGGTACCTACAAAGAACAAATAACGCTCCGCGATGGAGAACGTTTGCATAATTTTTTAGAACTAATTAACGTGTAAAAATAATTGTAAAAAAATTAAATAGGAATATCTGTGTTCGCGCGTTTACATGATCGAGCAGAGACCCGAAGTTTCGATGCCATTCTGGACCTTTTTCGTTCGTTTGAGCGTCAAATTTCGCAACGCTGGCTTCAGTTCAACCACCGGCTCCGGATCTGCCTCGACAGCAGGCGGGGGTGTGACTGCTTTCTGGACAACAGCGGTAGATGATCCCGCTACAGCCCCCGCCGAAGTTGGTGCAGATGTGGTCACTATTGAGTTGGTGTTGCGGCTGTTGTTGCTGCTGCTGCCGTAGCTGCTGCCAATGACCGAGATGGAGCTGATATTGGCTGGAGCACTGGTTGCAATCTTGGGCACAAATGTGTTGCCGCCGCAAAGAACTGGAATGGTGGAAATTGTTTGAATTGCGTTCACCTGCTGCGAGGTATCCGCAGAAATGCAGTTTCCGGATCCGCCGATGACACTGATCGCCGAGACTTGCGTATCCGCTCCCGATCCCATCGCTGCTGTTGCTGCTGCTGCCGGTGTCGATGTGGCGTTGGAGGCACTATTATGACTATTACTACTTGTATTCTTAGTGATATTTATTTTTATTCTATTAACTAGGCTAGCCAAAGGTAACGCCGGTGCCGGTCCCGCTGCGCTCAGATTATGCATCGACTCCTGCGGCTCTCCATTCAGTTCTGTTTCCGCGCTGGCCACCGTCGCCACCGTATCCGCGGCCTCCAGCTCATCGTCGTTGGCAGGAAGAGAGAGCGAGGCCACCGAGGCTGGTCGCTCTATGGCAGCCGGCGAGGGGGAGGACCCAATCGTTTGGGTTTGTGTTTCTGTCATGATGCCAAAAGTTTGAGGAACCCCTTCAATAGCTGTTTGCTGGACACACTTACCGCTGCTGTTGATGGATATCTCATCCTCGGGCAACGGCAGCAGTGGCACCACCGTGCCCACATCTTCGAAGCCATCGTCTTCGTCCTCCTCGTACTCGTCCTTGGGCTCCTCTTTGATCTTTACGTTCAGCAGGGCCAATCGCGTCTCATCATCCATCTCCTTCTCCACATACGTGTCCAGATCGGTGAAGGGAATGTTCGGCTCTTGGATCTCCACATCTGATTCGTTGGCCGATTCATTCTGTGGCTGCTGGTTGCTCTTCTGCTTCTCCCCATCCTCCTCGCAGCCAGAGCTGGGTTCCACCTTCTCCTTGTCCTCCGTCTCGATGCCCATTTCTGCCCGCGTCACATTGGCCGGGACATACTCATCATCATCGTCGTCAACGATCTCAGTGACGCTGGGCTCCTCGTTTGGCAACACAATGACATCGTCGTCGTCATCATCGAACAGGTTACGCGACGGCTTGACGGTGTCTATTCACCAAAGAGAGAAATGCCATGAGCTCAAGAAACCAAGAGAAAATCATTGCTAATGCAACTTACCATCTGCCCTATCGCCATCCTCCAGCTTAAGTATCGTGTCCATTGCATTGTCGTCGGTGTTGTTCATGTCGACATCTTTGTCGTCTGTCTGCTCTGCGGCAGCAGGGGGATTCAACGAAGCCTTGTAGTCCTCGTAGCACAATGGATGGTAGATCTTGTCCTCGACGCGAATGGCACTGCGTAAGTGCCATTCCTCCAGTTCCTCGTTGTAGAACTGCTCGAACTTCTCGTGGCACATGTCGCAGGAGCGGTCCACATCATCGTTACCGGCTGCACAGGTGGGCATTGGCGAGTCCAGCGATCGTTGCTGAGAGAGATCATCGATTGCATCGGGTCCGCCTGGCTGGCCCTGTCCTGCGTCCAGGAAGTTCCTCTCCCGCTCTTCCGCATCCTCGATCTCTTCGTACTGCCGCCAGTCATTCAGGTCATAGTACCAGCGCCTGGAGGTCGCCTTGCGGGTCGAGTCGCGCTCTCGTCGGTTCTGACGGAAGTGCCAGTCGAGATGCTGACTGTACTTGATGGTCTGCTCGGGCGGGAAACGCACACCGCAGCTGCTGCACTGCATGCCCAGGTAGAGCGTGGCCACCACGGCCGACTGGCGGGTCTTGATCGTCTCTGTCCTCTTGAGATTGATGCGTTTAATGGGCTCTGTGGGCGGCGAAGCGTATACGGGTGCGGCGGCTGTGGTTTTGGCAACAGCTGAAGCGGCAGCTGCAGGAGCTTCTTTGGTTGCGGTTGAGTCGACACCCGATATGGCCGGAATGGAGGCGGTTCCACCAATTATTCCCGACGAGACTAGCTTTTGGAACAAGTCATTGATATTCAGATTGCCAAGAGCAGCGGATGCCGCTGGCAGGGAGGCGCCTGGTGCTGCTGCCGCCGGCTGCTCCACCACGGGCAGGGGCTGGACAATCATCGGTGGCGGCTGCGGTGGCTCTGCCGGAGCTTCTGTCTTAATGTAGACCATATCAGCCACGTGCGTCTTGCCTGCCACAACGCCCTTTGGCAGCGTTCCGAATCGGATGAAGCAGCTGCGTCCGCCATTCAGCTTCATGCCCTTGGGCAGGCCGCCATATTCGATCTTTTGCAGCTGGCCATCGAGGAGAGCGTACTGGAAGCTGTCCACAAACTGTATGGAATGCTGTTCGGCTCCCATCTGGAAGGTCTGCTGTCTGGCATCCAGGAAGAGAGGAACAATTGTGTGGGCGTCCACAATCATGTTTATTTTGCCAACCACCAGGTCACGACGCACTCTGCCAATGTCCACATTGGGCGGAGGACCCTCCGCCTTGAGGACGTGCAGGCTGTTGCCAATGGGCAGGGAGACTGGTGGTCCGCCAAAGTAGATCTCATACCAATGCTCGTCGATATAGAGCTCGCGGGAGGGGAAGCCGAAACGGATGCGATGCAGGGCACCATCCAGCTGGAACGGCTTGTAGTCGTCGTTGAAGCTCAGCGGCAGCGGCTCGTTGTGATCGATCAGGATGACGCGCTGGCCATGCTGGAAGCCAATCTCGTGCGGCTCGTCGCCATCCATAAAGATTATGGCCACCTGGTTGTAGAAACGAATCTCTTTCGACCCGCCATCAATGGTAATGCTGCGCACCACATCCGCCATGGGGTTGTCCAGCGAGTTGATGGCCTTGGTCATGGTTACGGGCGGAACTGGTGGCAGACCCATCATCGAGGGTGGCTGTGGGGGTGGCGGGACGATCGTTTGGGGCATCACAATCGCAGGCGGCTGTTGCCAGGGCATTCCACGGAACCCGGACGGGACAACAGGAATCGAGCCCCCAGCTCCTCCAACTCCTCTCTTGTTGTTGTTGTTGTTGTTGTTATTATTAACATTGGCCAACTGCCAGGCGGCCCTCTGAGCAACCGCCGGATCCACCTGTTCACCCCATTTGCTGGGTTTTCGTCTCTTGTTCTCCCGCTTGGACTTATCGCGTTTATTTTGCGTTGGCTTCTCGGGTGATGTAGATCCCTGGGTGACCTGATCCTCGTATCTGGGGGAGCCATCGCTGCGTGGCGAGCCAGAGGAATGGTTCTCGTTGCTCTTGAGCTTCGGTATCCGCTTGCGCAGAACAGCATCTCGGGCTGCATTGCGCTCCACTTCAGCGCCATCGGTACGGCGCCGGGACTCCTTGCTGTGCATCTTGCTGTTCTCGTTAATGGCCACAACCTTCTGGACCAGGTCCTTGTACTGGTCTTGGTTCATATTGTGGTTCTCGTACATCTCCTGTGCCTGGCTGAGGATCGTGCGCATCTTCTCGTCGTGCGCCTCCTGCGAATCATCGTTGGCCTTCAGCTCGGCCAGCTGCTTGATGCGCTGCACCACAGACTGATCTCTGCCTTTGTCTAGCGGAATGAGAGATGCTTCATTAGTTTCCTGCTGTTGCTCTCAGAGTGCAGGGGTGTCTGCAGGGGTGATGTCTACTTACCAGACTTAGCGGAGAGCTTGTTGTGTAGACGCGCAGATTTGGCCAGTTTGGCGCGCAGCTCTTCGAGTGATGGCTTCTTCGCTTTGGATTGTGGCTATAAAATGTTAAATAGTTGTACAAAACTGAATGTGGCTCCGCCTCCGACTTGGAAACCTACCTTTTCCACATCACAATTGTCCATTGAATCATCTTCCACGACGATGACTGCGTGGGCACTTCCAGGCTTTACCACAGCGGGAATCTCGCGACGCAGATCAACATCCTCGCTGCCAAAGAGACTAAGGGAAATATGCGAGTTATTTATGAGCTGCCATCGAGTAGCCTAGCACTCCATATGTATGATCAGATCACTCACGCGTCCAGTTTAGTTGACTTGCTGCGTTTCTGCTGCGGCGGCTGCTCCTCCTCGTCCAACTCTGGGGGTAGCGAATCGGCGGGACGCTTCTCCCCAGTGACGCCTTGTACCTGCATCAGCTTGCTGATGGATTGCTGCAGTGCCTCCGATACATTACCCTGCTGCGATGGGGCTGACGAGCTCTGATTGATTAGAGGAGCGGATGCGGCGGCTGATGCTGATGTCGATGGACTTAGCAGTAATGCTGTTGATAGATTCGCTGTAGATTTATCTAATTTATTAAACTGTTTTTGTATTTTGAACGACACTTTTGCGGGCAATTTTGAAGAAGACGTAGTACTAGTAGATGATGGCGATGATGCGTTGGAGGCGCTACTAGCAATTTTTGTTGTGCTGCTGATGCTGTTGCTGTTGGATTTGGATGTGAATGGGGTAGTCGTGTTGGTGTTGCTGGCGCTGCTGCTCTGGTCGATTGGTTTGATTTTGGTCATGTCGAATGCTGGCGGAGGCGGCGTCTGGGGCCGCCTCAAGTCAATGTCCATACTGGATGCCACCAAAATCAGTGGACTTGGAGCTGCAGGAGCTGGAGGGCCTGGTTCGAGTATTTGAAATGTATCTAGAAAATTGATTTTGCTTTTGGGCACACATTTTGTTCTTACGGAGAGGGGGGAAAATGAGATGGAAGCAAGAGAACGACCAAAGTAAAAGGAGTAATAAAAGCAGAAGATGTGCTAAGCAAATTAAATTTGGGGGAGCACCAAATGTGAGCAAAAATCATAATGAAATCATACAGAGAATAGAGGACAGGCACAGGCCATGAATCATCATCATCATCAGGCACAACAGCCAGGCTAGTGTTGAATTAGTGAGAAATTAAATTAAATAATACAAAAAAAAAACAAAAAAAAAATGAATGTGATAAATCATAACTGAAGAGTTCCACGGTGGTGGGGCTCCGTTTGTGGAATCAATGAGGCGAAATGAGGGGTTAGACTAGAATAATCATAGGGCAAAATAAAAGGCAGGGAAAGGATTTAAAAATGGTATAAATTCTAAGGGTAAAAGTGCCGTTCTACAAATACAAAAATAAGATAGATGTACATACAAATAGAAATACAAAATACAACTAGCTGGCTGGCTGGCTGGCTCGTATATACAATACATAGATATGTATAGGGAAGCCAGCTCAACCACAAAATTAAATTACGCATCAAACAATTATATAAAATAAATATGTAGGTAAATCTTGCTTGTCTTGTCGATATTCCAATATTTATAAATTAGTATTTTATGTTCGCTTTGGATTTACACGGGGTGGTGTTGACAAAAAATTAAAACTGCAGTCTTTATTTTATTTTAGTTTCTCTTTCATCTCTAATCAATCAATGTTTTATCAATAGGCGGTTTAAGTACAAAAATTACTTGACAGTTATCATTTATATTGTTTTTTTTTGTTCTCTTTTTTAGGTTTTTGTATTCTTGTTTTTTTTTTGCTCGTTTCAATTTAGTTTTGTGCTTTGTTTGATTTTGGCATTTACAAATCACACCAAAGGCGGCACCCTGGCTACATTTTGCATCAATTAAAACAACTGGGAATGCAAAAGGTTTTTAAACACATTTTATTTACACTTTAGATTACGATTTGATTTGAATTTCAAAAGGTTTTGGTTTGGTTTTGCTAGGGTTCTTTTTTGATAGCACTCTTAATTATTAAAAACAAAAATTTCATAAATATTAAGTGATCATATGGTTGGTGGGCAGGCTGCGTTCTTTCGTTCTTTAAACGAATCTATTCCCACAAAAAAAGGGCCAGAAAACAACGAAGGAACCGAACCACCTCGGGTTTGCTCGTAAAGTGGAAGTTTTGTAGATAATAATGAATGTATGGGTTCTAACGATCCTCTATTGAGAATGAAGAGCAGACGAAGACATGACCAAAGAAAGTTTATCGCGTTTAACCATTGCCATTTGTTTGCCAATAAATTAATTTAATTTCGTTTAACTTTTTCCATTTCGTTGGAAGACTATTTTTTTTACTTTAAATTACTTTACTCCAATATGAATAAATATTATTATTATATTTCCAATGAATGACTAGCTAAAACCTTGATAAACTTTCCGTCTTAGGGGATCGTCTTTGGGATGAATATCACAAATTTATCACAGCGTTCAATAGGGAAGGGGAGGGAGGTAGGTAGGTAGAGCAAAGAGACCTTACGATGGGTCAACCACACACGCCCACTAGAGCCCGCCATTCCACCTGCCTAAGCCAGAGAGTGCCGCCGATTTGGTTTGTAATTTCAGCTTTCTCAACTACTTTGCCTGTACGGCCATGAGCATCGAGGTCGACTTGGTTGTTGGCTAACAAATGTGAGATTAGAATTAAAAGTTGTTTCTTACGTTTCTCTAAATCATTCGTAATGATTGTCACTTTTGCCGCTGCTAATGCTGATGATGATTGTGCTGATGCCACTTGAGGTACAGATGCTGGAGCGGCAGATTTCTGTTCAGGAGATTTTCGACCACCGCTGCGCAGGTCCACGTCCATGAAGATGGGCGAGCGACTGCGTGATCGAGTCGAAGATGACTTTCCTCGCACGGACGAAGACGATGACGATTTGTGTGTAGCATTGCGCTTTGACTTTGATGGCGAGGTGGTTGGAGATGTGCTTTTACGCTTCGCATTTGAAGGTGAGCCACTGCGTTCATATCGCTCCGAATGCTCCTTTGCGGATGGCTTAGATGAGCGTTTGGCAGGCGAAAGTGTGGAGCTGCTGCCACCACCACCACTTTTGTGTCGTACATCGGAGCCCGAAGAGGATGTTGAGCTTTTGGACTCGCTGCGCTTGCGATTTGATGAGCTGTTCGTATGGGAGCTGCTTCCATTGCTACTCTTGGTGGAGCGACTGCTGCTGTTGCGGGCAGGTGACTTGCTGCGCGATCGACTAGATTTATGTGATGATGAGGAGGATTTTCCCTCCAGGCGGGGATCGGAGGAGCGTGAGGAAGCCGCCTCCAGCTGAGATGACTGTGATTGCATTTGTCGCGCCAAACGGGGATCCCGATGTCGCACAGAGTTCAGTAGAGCCGAATTGACTGGATTAACTCTTGGCTTTGCGGCAAAGGGCTGCGTGGTGAAAAAAATCATTTTAGTTTTGATCGATGTTAGTGCTCTAGGCCTTGTGGGTTACCTGTTGTACAGGTATCGCAGGATTTCTAGGATTTCGCATGACTGGATCCATAGTAGGTGGACGATGAGGAGCAACAGCAGCAGGTGGTGCCGGCATAGCGACAATGGGTGCGACAGCAATAGCATCCGTTGCCTGGTTTAGCTGACGCTCTTGCTCCTCTAAATGCTTTTTAGTTTGCTCCAGCTCAAGCTCCAGTTTGCGTTTCTTCAGCTCCAGAAGCTCGCGGGTCTTAGCCTGTAGGATCTCCTCCATGTCGCTGGGCAGTGTGGAGTTAGCCGGCATCCCAGGAACCATACCCTGAACGAACATCGTTAGCCAATCGATTTCTGTGATGACAGACAATTATCAGACTGCTTACCGTTTTGAGAAAGTCCGGATTAACATGAATGGCGGGATTGACATGTATCTTGTTGGTGGGATTCTTGGCCGTAATTGGCCAGTTATTGTCTAGACGCTTCACCTTCACGTCTAGGGCATACATCTTGGATGGGGGGAATACCTCGTTCCAGGTCTGTCGCAGGGCATACATCCGTTCGCGCACCTTCTCCAGCAACTGCGACTGGGAATGCTGCACCTACAAGGGATGGGAGGGATGATGAATGTGGTTAATTTCGAGGAAAATGAAAACACTTGATAGCGAGCGATTTGACGACTTACCGATTCAAACGCGTTGAGGAATATGTTGACTATACATTGCGCAAACAACTGTACGTAGCTGCTTTTCACATTCTTAATTATCGAATCAATTAAATATAGTATGGGCAATTTAAACTCGGGCGGCACCTGTTTGAAGTTTGGTAAAATAGGTAAGAATATAGAACAATAAGTTTCTACAGAACGTCGCTAGCAGTCAGACAGAGGGGCAGAAACAGAGAGAGAGAGAGTGAAATAGGGGGACAGACAGACAACCATCAAATACATATCTTCCATCGGCGACATCATCAGCGGCAGCACAAATATTATTTCTGATATCTCCAAGATAAAACTGCACCACGCTAGACAAAGCGACGGATCATTAAAATCCTTTATGATACTCGCAGAACAGGGGACTGAAGTATCTCCCTCTAGGGATCCGAGCAGCTAATGAATTTTTGATGAATCTTCTGTGTAATTTATATACCAATGAGATGAACATGTGAGGGGGGTTCGAGATAATTAATTTGTTAGACTGTTTGTCCTTTTCCACTGAGGTGTTTTGGGTGAGAAATATGGAAAATGTTCTTTTTCTACACGTTTATGATTCATAAGGAGAATTTTCTTTCAGATTAGATACAAACATAAGCAGAGGTACTACTGGGGCTTTACTTTTACCAAAAGGTGCGTTTTCTTCATTTCGCAATAACAAAAATTGCTGCATTTTTCTTTCATGGTTATTTTTAAAAGCAGTCAACGATTTGTATAAAATAAAAGACAACTTGATGACGATTGTTTAAGTATTTTCTGTTTTTATTGCATTTTTCAGTTTACTTGTGTTTTTTCTTTTTTTTTGTTCTTTTTTTAGCTTTAAACTCTGCGTTCAAAAGTTGAAAGAAAGTAAAATAGAAGAGGAAATCAAACTTCTTACCTTTGTAGAGGATAAATTCAGTCTCGGCTTAAAACCCAAATTATGTGATAAATATTTAGATATTAAGAACCTAACTAGCATTATAAGGGATCTGATATGACTATTTCCAAACGAAACCAACGAAAGGCCACAGAAAAACGATCAAATTTCGAAGAAAATAAAGGGACACTGACGTCTTTCGCTGGTGTCTTTTGGCAATAGACAAACAGATCAAGAGGGTTTATAAAGAGTAACCAAAGTTCCTATCACATATCGAAATGGAGATTCACTGCTCTCATCACAGCCAGCTGCTGAGGACGCGACGACGGGGGCTTACTAGTCACTGTTTTGTGTGAGTTGGGTGTCTTGGTTGAAAAAAATATGCGTGTTATGTTAACCTGGCTGATGTAGTATTCCACCACGCGGACTATGACATGGGCATAGTTGATGTTCTCCTCCGCCAGCATTGTGAGCATGTTGATGAGCGGTTTGCTATTGCAGTTCAAATCCTGTAGACTCGACAGATACTCCTCACCAATACGTCGCTCATCATCCCGGTAGGATTGAAATAATTGATCCATCTGTGCTATTTGTTTCTATGTGGCAATCCTTGATCGGTTTATTGATCCAATTAATGCTTAGAAGAAACACGCAGTTGTTAAGGATAACGCTACAAGGGAGAGAGACAAATTTTATTTAGTACCTGCTGGGCAACAGTATTCAATTTGCTAAGCAACCGTATTTAATGTATTTTAACAAATGTGAAAATTCTTTCAAAACGATAAAGGGTGGGAGGGGAGTCGCTTGGTGCAGATGCAAGGTAAACAATCACGCGCGCCTGAAAACAAACCACAAATACACCCACACACATGCCAACAAAATTCAATATGGCGTCCATCAGACACATTGCTTCGAAGGCTGCAATTTGCAAATTGCATCCTGCACACGCAGGCTGAATATTTTAGAATACAAACTTCTTTTCACTTTGTTATCTGCATGTTCAGCAGAATAGTTTTCCATAGTTTTGTACGCAGCGTTAATGTTTATGTATCTTTTGGAACATTTTTCGCAGACAAAGCCACGTTTATATTACCAACACATGCACACGCGTTTTTCACAGTTTTCAAACCAATTTTCAGTGCTTATAGCGATTTCATACACATACCTTTTGTTATTAATACATTTTTACAATCAGTTGAAGAGACTTTCATGAATGGAAAATATAATTAAATCACTTTAAAATAACAAAAATTAACGTTGAAAACTCTCACGTAACAAACTGCGATGTTGGTGTTAGTGTGACAGCGGTATTATCAACAAAATATACCCGTTTGACCCTGAGAAAAATACCGAAATATACCGTAAATATACCAATACAAAAACCAACTTAGCACACCTAACCCCCCTCTATTTAAACAGGTGTTCACCATGAACTCAAGACCAAGTACAGTTTGTAATTCTACCTTCTTTTCTCTTTGATTAAATAAAACTATTACATCGATATCTTTCACCTGAACTCACCTGAAACGACAAATCTTTCTGTCGAATTTTACGTGAATATGTAGCTAATTTGCAGCAAATGTCTAGTTAGTGTGTAGTTACCATGTAAAACATTACATTTTCCATCAGAAGACCATTTTTCTATTTGATTAAACCTTGTTTAAAAATAATTCAAGTGAAAAATGAGTACTTCTTATTGCAGATCTTTTAGCAAATTGATTTATTAATGGTAAACCAATATTTTTTCAGCGCTGAGACCCTTATCTTGTTAGTAAGATTAAGCCGAATATTAAAATCGCGGAATAGCAATGCATCACAGCTTGTCGTGTCCGTCAGTATATTTACGGTATATAACGAAAATGAGAAGGTATATTTGGGTATATTTTTGATACCACTAATTATTTATAAGTTTATAAAAGTTATAAAAGTTTATAATTTGCTTAAAATGGACGGCAACGCCTACCTACAAAGCGCCTACCACGTTGCAATAGTGCCGACAGATCTGCATCATGAGGCGACCATAATCAAAGCAGCCCAGTCTCTGGACTGTCTACACAAAACAATAAATTCTATTTTCGAGCGGATTGATGCCCGCCTCGAGAGAAATGGTGCCAAGGTCCAGGACATAAACAGGCGTGTGAAGCGGGCCCAGGGGAAAATAGATGCACTGGTCGGGTCCAAACGAGCCATCAAAATCTTCGCTCCGGCCCGATTTCCAGCCGGGGACGTTTTGGTCCACATACCTTCCACCTTTCCACAGGTGGCCGGCCAACTAATGGCGGAGAATCAAGAAAGTCCAAACGGTCGACAGGAACAGACGGTATTAGTGGCAGATGAAGATCCGACTTCCTTTCATGTGCGAGGCGAGCAGGAACATGAAGCGCCGTTGGTCGCGGAAAGGAAGATGACTAATCGGACTTCTGGTTTGGGTGGTCTTCCCTCAAATGGCGTCAGATCGGTCCCTTCGTTGATGCGCTTCAACACCAACGAGTTTGCCTACGGCGATGATTTAAACGCCTGGAAGCGTTCTCTTCCCCCGCAGAGGACACGACGGGCAGCCAGCCAAAGTAAGATCACTACGGAGAACCTACTAGCTCCGGCTCCACATTCACTGGCACATGGCACCACCAAGTTGGCGACTCCCGCCGGTGACTTGCGGTACAATCCAGCTGCTTTGGCGGCCCCAGCCATCGATGTGCCCTTGGACTTGCCCGACCTTCCTGGCATAGCCAGCGACCTGCAATATGAGCCCGTGGAAGAGAAGACGCCCATTGCTCCGTCCCAGCAGTTTGGAGAGCTGCCAGAGTTGCCTGGATTGGAGGTTGAACAGGAGATCACAGTGCAGGCTCTGGCAGCTCGCACGCACATTCCAGCGCCAGTGAAGAAGACATTACGTGGATCAATTGGATCAGTTCCCGTATCGACCCCACCACCACCACCACCTCCACCACCCCCGCCTCCGCCGACTCCACTGCCTCCCAAAAGAGCGGCACCGCCTCCAACCTTGCCCACTCGAGGCCCCATCAAACCCCTCTCTCCTTCTCGTGAAACGCCTCTTATCATGCCACCGCCTCCACCACCGACGGCTGATCCACGATCAGAGCTTATGGCTGCCATACGGAATGCTGGAGGAGCACTGGGCGGACGACTCCATTCAGCTGCGGCTGCACCACTCGATGTGGTGGACACGACGAGATCCAAAGCAGGAACCACAGCCACGGGTGATCTTATGGCGGATCTCCACAACAAGCTCCTACTCAGACGCAAAGGCATCTCGGGCAGTCAGAATCCCGCAGATCCAACCGCTGGAAATCCGCTCATGCAGCAGCTGTCCAAGGTGATACCGCAGAGAAAGTCCCCTCAGTCCAGCGATGAAGAGCCGTCTGAAGAGGACGTGGATGCGTGGACGTAATTAAATTAGACGGACATTCTTTTGCATCAGGTTCACGTGCCTACCACGGCTTTAAACACTAGCATCAAATTTACCTCTTTTTGGAAAGCAAGCAAGCATGCAAAAATTAGCAAAGTTTACAAATTTCAATAAAATAAAAAAATAGTATCCTTCTATGGTATAAAAAGGAAAGCGTTTTGATTCAGTTCGGCGTTACCACCAGCTTTTCTTGTGTTGAAATTTAATCCATCATTTTGATCAAAAAAGGCGCGAATACCCTTGCTACGCTTCGAGCTATCCGAGTGTTGTTCAACACTAAAATTTTCACATGTTTCGATAAAAATAACAACAAACATATAATTTTTAAATAATAATACATAATGCTACGTAGCATTAGCAACTTCCGGACCATTTCTTAGCTGTGCTACCAACCGTGAAAGTGGACCGACATTATCACATTTCGTCTTTTATAATGTCCGCTCCGTCGCGAGATATTAACGATTTGTTTGATGATATAGTGCTAACCGAGGAGAAACACGCTCGTCTTGGCTACGACGAAGGCTTGCTGGAAGGTAATTCGCAGGGGAACGAGGAGGGCTATAAATTGGGCTACTCCCAAGGCGTTCAATTGGGCGAGGAACTTGGCAAAATACTGGGAGAGGTTGTGGCCCAGCAACAATTGCCGCATACTGCGAGAGTGCGACGAACCCTTGAGCAGCTGCGGACGCTCATTGAAGTATTTCCACGCAAGAACGAGCCGGAAGCGGACATTATTGGAGCCGTAGAAACTATCCGCAATACACATCGTCGCCTGCGTGCCCTATTGGGTACTAAGGGAACAGCTTCTCCTGAGCCGTCCCCTGCTAATCGCAAGGATTATAGTTTCTAGCGTTATGGCCAAGGGTGTGACTCAGCTGGAAAAGCGCCTCGATGCGCTGCTGTTATACCTTCAGCCACATTGGGATTTCCTCAATTGTCACATGGTTAACTACCTAACCGATCAGCACTGGAGCAGGTTTCTGCCAGAGGCAATGCGAAAGGAGATCAATAGCAAGAAAGACCTAGACCTGGCCATAGAGAACCTCTTCTGGCACAAGAAGCGTTCCAACACTGAATTTCCTGAATGGGAACGTTTCTTAACGAACGGAGAGCACGAACGTTTGTCTGAACATCCAGAACTATTGACAACAGTGGACCAACTGATAGAGGAGCAGGAAAAGGCGACCCAGCTCAACATCAGGGAATTCATGAGTGCCAAAAAGTGTCATGAGGTATGAACAAGCAAACATAGACATTGTTGAATCTTGTCCCTCAAGTCCCTCCGTTTCTTTCAAACTCCATACACAGGTTGAGCTTACAGCCGCTCTGGTCGACAATTTGATACTGAGCACTGGACATCAGCATGATTTCTGCATTGTGGATGCGGGAGATGGCAAAGGGTATCTGTCCTCTCGGATGGCGCTCCAGTATGGGCATCGTGTGCTTGGCATCGACGCCAATGCTGCCAATACCGAAAATGCCTTAAACCGCAATCGGAAACTTCAGGTACCACTCGACTACAAAATAAATATTTCTTTATTTCATTAGTTTTATACACTTAATATAAGTAGAGTTTCCAAGTTGCATTCCTCGACGCCCGCAGCGTCCTAGTCTCGCATTTCACCCTCCTCGTCGTCATCCTCCATGCCCTTTATGTAGAGCACATTGTTGCAACGTATCAGCACCTCTCCCAGATTGCCGGTGACGGAACCCTCGATGACTTCCTCTGTGTTGGCCAATTGCATGTTCATGTAGCCGTCCACGGAGACCAAGAAGCCTTTGTATTCCTGTCCCCATTTGAGTTTCACCAGCACGGGTTTTCCGGTAAGACCATTAAGAAATGGCTTGGGGTTGATTGGCATACCAGCAGACATTATGTTTGTTTTATTATTGTACGCTTTTGGAAAGAAAACAAGAAAATCTTGTATAAAATGCCGGGTTTTCGCGTGGAAAAAGTGTGCAGTGTGACCGCGAACTTATCGTTAAAATATACCCTCAGGACCCTCAAAAAGATACCGAAAGTGTGCAAACCAAAAGCGATTGACTTTGAAATGATATATTAATATATCGATACATATTTTTTGTAGGTGATAGCAGTGTTGTTTCACGCGTTAAGCAGTGTTGTAAAATTAGAAAATTTGAATTCAAATTGGGTATTATTATTTTATTTTAGCGCGCTTGGAATGGACTAACAGAACGGGCGGAGCTTCAGAGCCAAGGAATCACACCCAAACGGCGCGGGAAAAAGTCGCCAACGAGAAAAACAGCAAAGAGTACGCCCGTTCTGGAAAACTACAAGACGACTGCAAGATTCATAAACACCGAACTTGATTTCGGTAATTTGCTCGCCGAGCACTTTCCGACAGTTCCTTCGGCGGGTAATTTAAGCATATGCCTGACGGGTCTGCACACCTGTGGAAATCTGGCTGCCACCTGCCTGCAGGTATTCCACGCTCAGCCCGACTGCCAGATACTGTGCAACATTGGCTGCTGCTACCACCTGCTAAAGGAGAGGTACTCGCAGCAGGAGTTCTTCGGGAATAAGGCGTTGATGGACATGCAAACAGACTTTGGATTTCCGCTAAGTCAATATCTCCAGAAGCGTGAGATCAGAGTGGGTCGCAACGCCAGGATGCTGGCGGCCCAGTCCATTGAACGAACTTTGGATGCCAAGGAACTTCCCAATATAACGCTCTATTATCGCGCCCTGCTGGAGGTGCTAGTTTGCCGGCACGCCCCGCACTTAAAGAACGAACTGCAGGTGGGCAAAGTGCGTAAGTTTGAGAACTTCCAGGATTACATACAGAAATGTGCCAAGAAATTGGACGCTCCTTGGCTGGCAGCCATCGATGTAGCGGAGCTGCAATCTGTACTTGAGGAACACGCCGTGGATAAGCACTTTTTGGACATGTTCTACCTCATACGCATGTCATTTGCTCCGGTGTTGGAGAGCCTTATTCTGCTCGACCGCCTGCTTTACCTGCGGGAGCTGGGATACCATCGCAGCCATCTGATTGATCTGTTCGATCCTGTTATATCGCCCAGGCACTTTGCAATTGTGGCTCTCAAGTCACTGACATAACACTGGCATAGGCAAACACTGACATTGATGGATGCATCAAAGTCGAAAACCGGCTCTCAGTTGAATTTAATTAAACCGAAGCATGCAATAATATAAATATGCTGTTAGACACCTACATATGCCACTAAGCACTTCTCAACGCGGCTATACTACGACTATATGTTATATGAATTATCAGATCTTTTTCTAGTATTGTGTCCCATTTTTTTTGGGCTTTAAAACTGCAACATATTTTGATTCGACATCCACTTGGTGAGTTTCTTAAAAACTTCTTGATCGGTTAGCGGTTCGGTCCTCTCCAGACTTGGCTGATAACTATTGTTATTCAATTACAACAAGGGAAACTAACGCTATCTATTAAGTACTAGTAGCTTATACGCGTGTCTGTGTTTGTTTTTCAGCAATATATTTAAAGCCAGTCTGTCATATGTATACATGTACGTATGTGCCTACATGAACTGTAATCGCTATCTCGCAATCATCTATAAATATGGCAGCACACTCCAATTCGCGTTGAGTATTGTGCGAAAAGCCTTAATTGTCGGTCGTTTGCTTAAACTCACAAAAACATTGTACATAAATTACTTGGCTGAAAAACAAAAACTAGTTGCTACATTAGGTGAGTTTTAAATGGGCAACGGGCATACAATGATACCAGTTGATTTTTAATTTACAATAAAGTTTAAAATTTTCCCACAAAAATTAATTAAAAGCTGTTTAAAAATTCGAGTGCCGGTGCAAATTATTATAGAAAAGAAAATAAAATAGGAGCGGACTTAAATGTTAGAGATGTCTATTGTGGGACAATTACTGCTAAAAGATAAGATTGAAAATGATTAATTAAAAAAAAAAGTTCGCTATAAACAAGCATAGCAAAATACTTGACGGGTGGAGCTCAGCTGCCGCTTGGTATCGGCTGCGATAAGATTGTCAAGAGTACTGACCTACTGGTATCATTGACACTGGTACTTAAGAGCAGCATTATAAACGATTGACATTTGCGTATCATTAAAATTTTCAGCAATAAGATGGCTTTGACCGAGGCGCTCTTCCTTATCGTGGGCGCTTTGAGTGCCGTTTACATATGGTTCCAGCGCAGCCACAGCTACTGGCAGCGGAAGGGCATTCCCTACATCCCGCCCACACCCATTATCGGCAACACAAAGGTCGCATTCAAGCTGGAGAACTCGTTCGGGCTGCATCTGTCGGAGATTTACAATGATCCCAAGATGCAGGACGAGGCGGTGGTGGGCGTGTATGCAATCAACAAGCCCGGTCTGGTTATACGCGACCCGGAATTGGTCAAGTCCGTGCTGGTCAAGGACTTCAATCGGTTCCACAATCGATACGGCCGCTGTGATCCCCACCGCGATCCTCTGGGCTCCAACAATCTATTCTTTGTGCGGGACACGCACTGGAAGGACATCCGAACCAAGCTGACGCCGGTTTTCACCAGTGGAAAGGTCAAGCAAATGTATACCTTGATGCTGGAGGTAAGTAGCTCATTTGGGAGTATATTAAAGTAAGATTCAGTAGAAGTTTCCTTGCAGATAGCTCACGATCTAGAGGAGCATCTGAAGAGACATGGCCAGAGCAATCCCGGCAAGTACATCACGGAGATCAAGGAAGTCTGTGCGCTGTTCTCGACGGACAGCATAGCCACGATTGCCTATGGCGTTCGGGCCAACAGTCTGCAGAATCCAAATGCGGAGTTCCGCAACCATGGACGCCAACTGTTCACCTTCACCATCTCCCGTGCGAAGGACTTCTTTGTGGCCTTCTTCCTGCCAAAGTTGGTGTCGCTGCTGCGCGTTCAGTTCTTCAGCAAGGAATTCTCTCACTTCTTGAGGAGCACCATTGGACATGTGATGGAGGAGCGGGAGCGCACCGGCGCCATTCGTAACGATCTAATCGATGTACTGGTGAGCCTGCGCAAGGAAGCGGCCGAGGAGCCCTCCAAGCCACACTATGCCCGCAATTTTGACTTCCTGGTAGCCCAGGCCGGTGTATTCTTTACGGCCGGCTTCGAAACCTCTTCGTCCACCATGTCCTTTGCCCTCTATGAGCTGGCCAAGAATCCCCACTTGCAGGCCCGCTTGCGGCAGGAGATCAACGAGTCTCTGGTGGAGGGCGGCGGCAATCTCTCCTACGAGAAGATCCAGTCCCTCGAGTACCTGACCATGGTGGTGGATGAGGTGCTGCGCATGTATCCAGTGCTACCGTTCCTCGACCGCGAGTACAACAGCATCGAGGGCCAGCCGGACCTGTCCCTCAAACCCCACTACGACTTCACGTACGAGCATGGCACCCCAGTCTTCATACCCGTATACGCACTGCAGCACGATCCGAAGGTAACTTGAAATATGAAGATCAGAAAGCAGATCAGTCAATCTTTTCGCCCCGTGCAGTACTGGCCCAATCCCGAACAGTTCGATCCGGAGCGCTTTTCGCCGGAGAACCGCAAATCCATTGTGGCCATGGCCTATCAACCCTTTGGCTCGGGTCCCCACAACTGCATTGGCAGTCGCATCGGGCTGCTGCAAACGAAACTGGGACTGGTTCACATACTCAAAAATCATTCGGTTAAAGTGTGTGCAGACACCATAAAGGAAATGAAATTCGATCCCAAGGGATTCGTGCTGCAGTCCCTGACAGGCATACACCTGGAGATAGTCAACGATCGCCTGTACGAGGAGAGTGCAGCTCAGGCTCAATGAATCGCGGCTATCAAGCACGAGATATATATAGATAGAGAGTGCGACTAAATTGTATTGATTATCGGCTTATATTGTTCAATTGATTATGCAATAATCCAAAACAGAATTGACAGGCGCGTGATAAAAGCGATCTTTAGTTGTCTGCCAGTAGAAAAACAAAATTAAAATTATTATAATATAGTTATCAAATTGCATTTAATCTCTCACTTAGTATGGTTGTGCGTTGAACTAGAAATCAAAAGCAAAACTGCGCCACCAATAAATAAATATAATCTTAATTTAGTTGAATGCACTTTCAAACGTTTCCCAAACGCTATAACGCTCATGGGACTAGCCGAGTATTAGGATGTACGAAAATAGCTGCGATTGAGGCTGAGTCTGAGTCTGAGTCAAATAAGTGATTGAAAAATGCCTATAGAGTGGGAGGGATAGATGGATTTATCTAGAGGCGAGAGTATAGAATGTCGCGAGTGTAAAGAGTGTAGAGAGCATTATGTGTAGTCTCATCGGATTTATCCAGTAAGCCGCATGCGTTTCTTATTGCTTTGCTCCGATAGACACGCAATTTTCCAATCAAAATCCACTCCAAGATGTGACAGTCTCGGCCGTCTACCCAGTTCAATTTTAAATGGCAGAACACGCGAATCTCGGACTTAGTTCACATTCAGTTGCTGTTGGCTGCATTGCTCCGAACGAGTCCCAAAGCTAGGTGAGTCATCTATGTGCATATATCAGATACCCAAAGGATTGCGCACAAGCCTCAAGTGTATGCCGCCCTGGGCCTGCAGTATTATGGCCTTGGGATCAAGCCTCATGCGCCGCGGAGTGCGCTCCGATGTGGTCACCTGATGATTGCGCAGAAGATTCACCAGCCCCACCTTTGCCTGCAGCAGTCCAAATCGCTCGCCGATGCAGCCATGCGGACCCAGGCCAAAGGGCATGTACGTGTAGGGCGTCTGCAGTTTTCGATTGGCGGGGGGAGAAGCGCTCCGGCTGGAACTTCCGTGGCTGTGGAAAGTACTAGAAGCAAAGAAAAAGATTAGCTACAGCCCAGAGATTGATTCGGTGCTACCGCAGCCCACCTGGGGATCCATGTGCAGGGCATAGCAGGGTATGTAGATGGGCATTCCCTTGGGCACACGAAACTCGTGGAACGGCGACAGGGAGTAGCCCTCGTCCTCGGCCGTGCACTCTCGGTCCAGGAACGGCAGCGGGGGATACATGCGCAGCACCTCCAGCAGTATCATATGCATATACTCAAGGGAATCGATTAGCTGAAGGGTCACCTGTCCCCCGCTGGCCAGCAGAGCCTCCTTGATCTCATGCCTCAGACGCTGCTGGATGTCGGCATCCTTGGCCAGCTCGTACATGGCAAAGGCCATCGTGGAGGAGGAGGACTCGAAGCCGGCGGTAAAGAAGAGCACCGCCTGTGCCACTAGGATGTCGCCCTCGAACACAAACTGGCCGTGATCCCCAGACGCCTTGGCCTGTTGTGTGCTGCGCCGGAACTCGATGAGGATGTCGATGAGATCGTTGCGCGTCTGCTGGGTCCGTTCGCGCTCCGCCATCACATAGTTGATGGTGTTGCGCAGGAACCGCGTGGCCCCGGCCGGCACCACCTTGAAGCCAAAGAGCGGCACCAGATGCGGCAGGAAGAAGACCAGCGTAAACTCCGCCGCCCGCTTCAGGCTAAACTCGAAGACCGATCGGCCGTGCCGGCGGAACTCACCATTCGGCTGAGTGAAGCTATTGGCCTGGACCCCGTAGGCCACCGTGGCAATCACGTCCGTGGTGAAGAGGGCACACAGCTCCTTGGCTTCCAGGTCGAAGCAGCGGGTCCGCTCGTTGTGCAGCGGCTGCTCCCGGAGATGGGCGTCCAGATTGGAGCCCACCTCTGCGATGAGGGGAAACATGTTCTTCAGCTTGTTGCTGGTAAAGAAGGGCGACAGCTTGAAGCGCACCTCCTTCCAGGCCGGATTCTTCAGGAAGAATATGTTTTGCGATCCCAACGGATCGCCCTTGTAGTCAGAGTTCGAGTATCTGTTGGAGAACTTGCCAAAGTCCTTGATCATGATCCGCTTGATCAGATCGGGATCGCGCACCAGCAGCGCCGGCCGGTGGAAGACGTGTATGCCCACAAAGGGCTCGTTCACAGCATCCGGATGATTGTAGAGCTGTCCCATAAAGTCCGCCGGACTGTCCCTCATGCTCAGCAGTCCCGCCAGGTTGCCCACTATCCAGTGGGGTCGCAGCTCGCGCACTCCTCGACGCCGCCAGTAGGCATAGTGCTGCTGCAGCAGGAAGCAGAGGGTGGCCAACACGATGACCACCAACAGAAGCAGTCCAAGTACCATGTTTGCTCTGAGAGATTCCTCGGGCTACTGACGCCTTCCCAGCGAACTCATCGCGGGTTTAAGCAGCTTCGGAAGCTGCTGGGGCAGCGCCGGTTCATCAAGATCCCCGTCAAGGTGCCCTGTTCCATGAATGAATTTAGTTTGTGAATGGGTGAGTGGGCTTTTGTGAGGCGGATTCCATTCTCTTATTTGTTAATGTTATGTTAAGTTTCTTTGTTGGGGAAAAGTGCAAGGTCTATGTCTCTAGTCTCTAATTGTTACTGGGAAATTCTGTGGATGAATAATGATTACATCTTTCCATTGGTAGTTTCATCAGTTTCATCATGGTTCCATTGTGGCTGCTGATGTGCGCCATCCTCTCCATCTACCTCTGGCTGAGGCAAAGGTACAGCTACTTTGAGCGCCACAATATCGTCCACCTGCCCGTGTCGGCCTGGACACCACTGGGACATCTCAGGAAGCTGCTGCTGCTGCGCATCTCCTTTGGCGATCTCTTCCACAACATCTATGCAGATCCGCGCGGCCATCAGGCCAAGGTAGTGGGTTTCTTCCTGTTCCAGACCCCAGCTTTGATGGTGCGCGATCCGGCGCTGATACGCCTTGTGCTGATCAAGCATTTCAACAGCTTTCTGAATCGATATGAGGCCGCAGACGCTGCTGGCGATCCGATGGGTTCGCTGACGCTGCCGCTGGCCAAGTACCACAACTGGAGGGAGAGTCGTCAGTCCATGGCGCAGCTGTTCACCAGCGGCCGCATGCGGGAGTCAATGTACCCGCTGATGCTGGGAGTGGTGACCGATCTGGAGCAATATCTTCACAGGAAGCTGGGGGACCGGTCCGAGCGGATGCTACCCCTCAGTAAAATGTGTCAGCTGTACACCACCGATGTGACGGGAAACCTCTTCTACAGCATGGACGTGGGCGGACTGCGTCGAGGCAAATCCCAGCTGCTGAAGAAGACCAAGGAGCTGTTTGACCCCGATCCCCGGAAGGTCTTGGACTTCATGAGCATCTTCTTCTTGCCCCAGTGGACGAAGCTGCTGCGGGCAAAGGTATTCAGCAAGGAGTACGCACAGTTCATGCGAAGCTTAGTGGGGCATCCGCGGGAGCGGAGCAAGGGCGATCTGATCGATCAGCTGCTGCACCTGCAGAGCAGTCGACCCTCCAGCCACTACGCCCAGCATCCGGACTTCATCGCCTCCCAGGCGAGCATCATTCTGCTCGCTGGCTTCGAGACTTCCTCGGCTCTGCTCGGCTTCACCCTGTACGAGCTGGCCAAGCAGCCCGATCTGCAGCAGCGTCTGCGGGAGGAGCTGGCAGAGGCTTTTGCACTGGCTCCCACGCTCACCTATGAGACGCTGGTCACGCTGCCCTTCCTTCGGATGGTCTGCCTGGAGGCACTGCGGCTATATCCAGCCGCTGCCTTCATCAACAGGGAGTGCACCAGCTCGGATCCGAAGGGATTCGCCCTGCAGCCACACGTGGACTTTGTGATTCCAAACGGGATGCCTGCCTACATCTCCATCCTGGGACTGCATCGCGATGAAAAGGTAAGACTGGAGACCTGAGGGAAGCGCTGCCGCTGGCTCACCGCTCACTCCACACTTCTATTCCAGTACTGGCCCGATCCCAACCGCTTTGATCCCGAACGATTTGGTCCGGATCGGAGCAACGACATCGTGCCGATGACTTATATACCATTTGGAGCTGGCCCCCATGGCTGCATCGGCAGTCGTCTGGGCTCTTTGCAGCTGAAACTGGGCCTGGCCCACATATTGAGGCTGTGCCGGGTGGAGGTCTGCGAGCAAACGGTGCCCAAGATACGATTCAATCCGAAAACGTTCATGCTGGAATCCAAGGATGAGATCTACTTGCGATTCTACAGGGACAAGCTATAAATTAACGGCTGCTTTTCACCGCCTGGCTGTGATACTTGGGTATGGGGAAATGGGAAAGTATTATTTTGATATCGAAAGAAAATGTTTTATTTGAATTGAATTTGTTTTTACTTCGGATGAAACACCTTTCTTTGTTTTTTTCTTGGGTTATTTATGTGGCGACCGTGGTTGGGGGTCAACAGACACACACACACAGACACGCAATATGGGTTAACATTCACTCGAAAGCGAATTATATTTCCTTAACATTTTGAATACTTTATACACAGACACATATAGTATATAGATAAATATTCCTCCAAAAGGAGAATCTCTTTTAAATTCAGCCAAGGTTTTTTTTTTTTTTTTTTCCGTTTTTCCAGACTTGATCCCAAGCTACGCGGAGCTGGCATCTTTCTCTTTCACTTTCACTTCCACCCACACCTATACCCACATCTTCCTTAGATTTCTAATTGACACCGTCCAACTGGCTGAGCTTATCCTCAATATCTTTGATACGGCAACGGATCTCGGGTGCCGAGTCGCGCTGGAACTTGGTCAGATTCAATTCGAAGCTTTGCTTTATGAGGGCCAACGGCCGCTGATCCTTTGCCAGGCTGAGGCGTTTGATCAGCATGAGAACAATGTTGAGGGCCTCCTTCTTGAGGCCCGTGTGCGGTACACCAGCGGCCAGAGAGACTGCGGCCAGCACATCGCCGCAAATCTTTTCAACGATGGCCTCACGGGTCTGCAGCATTGGCGTCTCTGTCTTCAGCTTCTTCTCTTGATTGATCTGCGACAAATCGGGCAGTTTGGCCGACTCATCAAAGATGTACAGCCGTTCGATGTACTTGGTGAGGGCGGCCAGCAGACTCACCTGGACCGGACGCGTGCTCTCGCTTAGGATGCTGGTGCAGTTGGCGGCGAAGAACAGCTGATATCTGTGCTGGGTCTCGATGGAGTGGCGCGGCCACGACTTGCCCAGGGTCTCCCAGACAACCTCCTTCAGTTTGTTCAGCGTCTGCGCTCGCTTGTTGCGCTCATCGGCCGTTAGATCCCTGCTTGGGCTTGGCACATCCTCATCATCCGAATGGGGGTCGCGCAGCTCCTTCTTCTCCAGCAGATTCCAGATCATGTCGTAGACCTCCTCAAAGCGATCGGCCTCCAACTGATCCAAGATGTCGCCCAGGGCAGCCAGGGCCAATGTGCGATAAACTGGCTCCCGCTTGCGGGCCTCGCGCATTGCCGCCTCAATAATGCTCAAGCAGATCTCGTTCTTCCGGTCCAGGCCCTTGCAGAGAGCAGCCAAGGCCTGCAGTAGTCGCTCCTTGCCCTCGAACGTGCGTCCCTGTAGACCGCTCAGCAGCAGTCGGATGAGACGGACTCGCTCCGGCTCCTCGAGGGTGTTGCACAGGCGTGTGGCAATCGTCTGGATGGCATTGGCCGCCTGCGCCTTGCGTGACCAGCTGGCATCGGTTAGCGAGGATTCCAGCTTGGGAATGATCACGTTCAAATTGAGACGAATTCCCGCATCGCCGGGGCTGGTGTCGTTCCATAGATCCTTCCACAGCTCCACATTTGCCTTCGACTCCTCCGTGGCCTCCTCGTGCATGGCAAAGAAGATCAGCGGCAGCATGCTGTCCATGTAGTCCTTGAGCAGCTCGTGGTGACGCTTGTTGATGGACTGTATGGTCAGGGCAATGGAGCGGTTGCTCGGCTGCTCCAAGTACAGCTCATCCAATTTGGCAAAAAAGTTCTTGATCGACTGCTCCTTAGCCAGCCCCAGCAGATGTCCAATCGCGCTGGCGTTATACTTGCGCACAGTAACATTGCGATCCTTGATGCCCACAAAGCAGGCCCGCAGGTACTTGCCCACCACCGGCGTCATTTCCTTGCCCAAGCGGATGCTGATCTGGAAACGAGAGAATGCAATCGAGGTACTCGGGGGTAACAATCAATCAAGCCTTCGGGCTTGTCTGACTCACCAGACAGACAAAGTGGGCACATCCAATCTTGGTGCCCAGATTCACGCTGGACTTCATCAGCTCGAGCACTTCGGGTGTCATCCGCTCCAGCACTGGATAATCGATATAGCGCACGCACTTGCTGATCGTCTCCATGGTGTGGTGAGACTTGGCTGCCTCGGCGCGCAACGTGTCGACCACCTCCTGGGCCTCGTTATCGGCGCCCAGGCGTGTGGACACATAGGATAGCTTTGTGTTTTCAAGCTCCCCCGTGGCGCGCAGCAGGCAGGGAATCAGGGTGACCAGGTGCGGGGCGATGAGGGCGCCGGAGGAGTCGATCATGTCTGATATGGTTTTGATGCTCACTTTGCGTATCTCGACTACTTTGTGGCCGACTCCCGTCTCGAGGAGGTAGGGCAGAATGGAGGCAGCGACTGCTGTGCCCGACTTGCCATGGTCTGAGGAGGCTGCGATCACACAGAGCTTGCCCAGGAACGAAGCCGTGCCATGGGCAGTGACCCGGGTGCCCTCGTGTATGTCATCCATGACACGGAAGAGCTGAAACCAGAGCTCTTTTAGCTCCGGTTCGGGGGCCTCGTCCACCTGCATGGCGTCGGGCGTGACCCGGCTTGGACTGCCAACGGGCCGAGCCAGCTCCTCCGACCGAAGTTTTAGCCCGTTGGGACGCTTCAATAGATCCCTGACGGCCAGACAACAGGCGATGCGCACTCTCCACTCCTTGCTGGTGAGATTGTCCAGCAGCTCGCGCAGGATATCCCAGTAATACTTCTCGGTAACCTCCTTGGAGTCGCTGACAATGGTGTCCCATATGGAAATCATCGAGTTCTGTATCTTGGGCGTGGGGTCGTACTTGTAGCGATATAGACGGGGTATAATTTTCCCCAAATACGGCTGCATCTTCTGCCTGGATTCGGCGGAGAGCGTCTTCAGTCCGAAAGCAGCGCCCAGCTTACTGGTCCACGCTGCATTGTGGTTTGCCAGCTGCATGAACTGATAGATCATGTCCGGCTGGTTGAGATCCGAGGCCAGGGAACACAGCTCCTTATAGGTGGTTATGTTTCCACCGGTCGGTGTCTTACCCAGCATACCTTCGGCAAAGAGTTCGGTGTCGGCAGTGACCTGATTCACCTTCCGCTTGCCGCCAATCAGCTGATCCAGCAGCGAGTTGGCCAAGTCGGTCTGACTGCCCGCATCGGAGAGGGTGTACACGAGTCCCAGGCCACGGGAGGCAACATCCTGCACAAATTCTGGAACAACAAGCAATAATTAGTTCAAGTGGAGAACAAGGATGCGAATCTCGGCTACTCATCTACTTAATTATGAGGACTAAACTGAGGAGTAGTTTCCATCTAAAGAAAATGACGGACGGACATGGCTCGGAGATGTTTCCGAGGGTGCAAAATGTTGTTTTACATACCACTATCGTCGGACAGGAGCTCGGTGAATGCGAATTGTAGGAGCTCTTTCTTGCGGAGCACAGCGGGCCGTTTGCTGCAGTGCTTGACCACGGCCAGCAGCCACACCGAAATGGCCTGTCGAGAGTGTGGATTGGGTTCAGTGACCAGACGAATCAGGGAGTTGAGGAACTCCTCAAAGATAGCGTCGTTGCAATGGACATTGACAAAGTCCTCGGCTGGCTGGCCCTTGTTCACATCATAGCCGCAAAGGGTGTTCACAATCGCCTCCGATATGGCTATATTGAGTGCTGCATCCTTTTGTATCTTGGCCAGGGTGAGGAACTTTTCTAGGTTGCGCTTGGTGAAGTGCTCGCCATCGCCAATTGCCAGATAGCCCAGACACTTGGCCGCCTCCTCGCGATTCTTTTGGCGGGCTGACGAGCTGCGCAGCAGTTGGAAAACTACACCAAAGATGAGTAGCTTCGTAGAGGCCTCAATGTTCTGGAGCTCGGTCATTTCCTCATCGTCGTCGCCACCATTGCTGCTGACGGCCGCTTGTATCTCGACTTTGACATTTGGTATCTGGACTGCCTTGCCGATCATGGACAAGCACTTTACGGCGGCCGAAACCAGCAGCCATTGCGACTCGCACAGGTTTTTGGCTGAAGGAATAAATCGCATTAATAAAATATCATTCCATGTATCAAACGATATACTTACAAATAATCTTCACTGCCTCGATGAACTGCGGCCATGTGGCATAATCCTTTGGCGTGTTGGCCTGCTTGAGCATAGCAATCTTTCGATTGAACGCGTGCCCCAGCACCAGAAGCCAGCCATGCTTGTGCTCCAGAGTTTTCTGCGTGAGGCTGACCATGCATTCAGCGACCTCTTCATCGAATTGATCATCATCCAGGCCAGAGGCCCACAGAATGGCGTACACCTGGGACACATGGATGCGCATTGTTTCGGACACATCTTTCAGGGAGTTGCTCAGAGGCTCCAGTAGATGCAAGTTCTTGGCCGCGAACAGATCTGGGGCGGCAGTCAACAGGTCGTACAGACAGATAAGATTCGATTCACCTGGACACAAATTGAGAGAAATTTTAGCTGAATATCAAAATGATTTCATTCGATTACTCACTCCTTTTGGCCTCCACGCCACGCTGCACAAACTGCACATATTGATTCACGGCATTGCCCTCCTCGTCTTTGTAGTTGATGTTGATGTATTCTCGCAATTCCGGGGTGTACTTCTCATCGCCCGGAGCAGCCACCACCCCAGCCGAGTACCACAAACACAGACGCAGATAGTCGAGCAGCTCTTCGTAAACCTCCAGGCTATAGGGGAGCTTGGTACGTCCCACCACCACACACGAGCTGCTCTTCTTCAGTCGCTTATTGGCCATTTCATGCACATGCGACATCATGACCTGGAAACTAGGCAACACCACACGCCGTTGTTCCAGCGAGAGATGGTTAAAGTCGCTGATAGTTTCGCTCTTGCTGTGATTTCCCGCCTGCTCAATGGAGGAGATCAGGCTGTAGTTGACATGATCCTTCTTCGACGTGCCGTACAGATACGTGGTCACATTCTCGCGCAGAGAATTGCTGAGCGTTGAAAGAGAAATGCTTCAATAATAATACATAAATCGGTAAAAGCATGCAGTTACCGTTCGCCAGCGATGAGCAGCAGCAGATATCTGGCAGGCGCAAAATACTCCGGATAGCAGCTGGTTAGGAAGACGCTCGTCACATTCTGTACGATCTGTACCTTCGACTCGGCGTTGTCCAGCAGCATGGCCAGAAGAAGATGATGCTGTCCATCCAGCTTCACCTCGGATGGATCCAAGGTAGGATCATCCACATCCATGGCCTCGGAGGTCTCCTTCGTTTTCCAGGCGAATGCCGGAGCCATGGAGACTAAAGCCTCGCGTATTGAGGAATGTAAGTCTGGGGAACTGTTTGCCAGGTTATTGAAGTAGCCCAGCACCAGCTTTAGGTCCTGATTGACGTCGTTAGGGAAACTGCGTGCATGTTGGGCCAGCGCTGAATAGGCAGCATTCTGCACATCACTGGGCTCGGCTGTGTCGCGTCCAATGACTTTGGTGATTCCGGTCAAGATCACCCTGGAAACCTTGGAGACCAAATCACGTGGTCCGCTGTGGAACAAAAGGGAAACATGAATATAAGATAATACAAGCAGGGAATACATCTAGAAATCGATTGCTTACTCCTTAAGAACCAGCTCCACGAACTGCAGGGCCAAACCCTTGCATTTCTGATTGGTGTTTGTGCCAAACAGTCCCTCGAAGATGACCTGCAGACCCTTGGTGACATTGATGCTCTTGCCACGGCACCTGATCAGATACTGCAGCAGCTTCTGACGGACACGGGCGCAGCAGGGACGCGTCTGGCGGTCTGGCAACTTGCTCTGATTACCAATGAAGAGTGTGTAGAGTGGAGACGTGACGGCTGGATTGCTAAAGTCCAGCATGGTGCAGAGTTTGCTCAGCTCAGCTATGGCCGGAGTGGCCACACTGAAGCGAGTGTCTGCCGACGCCACCACGAGCGGCACAAAGACCTGGAGATCGGTGAACACGCCGGCGCATAGGAACCGAACGATGCCCTTCTTAACCTTCTCCAGCTCCTCGGCCCGCCAGTTGTTGGAAATAACCCGCTTAAAGTTGTAAACACTGAGACCTGGAGGGTCATCGTGCTCCTGGGTGATGCCATAGGGCAGTAGCAGTACGTCCTGAAGGAGTGAAAGGAAATTCGTGCTTATCGAATGCTTTCCCTGCAGATTCAGCAGCGACGCTCGCTGTGCGGGATCATCCGGTATCTTCATCTCGCTCAGTATGGGCAACAGCAGTGTGAAGAGTTTGTCCTGGTAGGTTTCCAGCTTGTCCTCGCTACCAACTACTTTGGCGGCCAATGCGGTTTGCTGCTCCAGCGAGAGGCGTGGGAATCCCATCGCGATGAATATGATGCCAAAGTTCTTGAGAAATGTGGTGCTATTATGGGCTGCATACTGGTCCAAAAGGGCCTCAACGGGGATCTGCACTTGTGCCCGAGAGGCGAGCCGGCGCTTGATGTGAGTGAGCACCTCCACAACCTGCGCGGGGGGAAGTGCAATGTATTAGTCGAAAATGACTCTTTAATTTTTGCAGCGTCATGGTACTAGACGACGATGACGGCCGGCACTATTGGGGGCTCTGTTTTGGCCATTCACTTGCCTTTGTGCGGACTTCATTGTGGGGCGAGTTGATCTTAAGTATAACTGGAGTCAGAAACTTTCCCACCGTAGCCTCCAACTTCTCATCGCTGTCTGTATTGCCGAGACGCAACAATACGCGCTCTAGGAGCTCTGAAAAATTGAATACAAGTTGTATTTTCAATAGGCAAAAAGCCCCGTTTCCAGCCGGCAAATGCCTCGATTCATGCCGGTCTGAACCGGCCGTCTTATAGTTATCTAGCTACGTTTCTGAAATTAGTTTTACCAATTTCCGCACTAGGTCCGGTTTCCATTTTCTTGTTTTTCTTTTTGTATTAGAGGTGTCAAACCATCGAGGGCACTATCGATAGTATCGATGTTTTGCTGCTAGCCGCTATTATCGATGGTTTTGCGACTATCATGACAGTATCGAGCTACAGTTGATGCGCTTTTGATACTATCATGATAGTATCGATTGTTTTTTTCAAAACATGGCTCAACTATCAATCGTTTGACAGCTCTAGTGACCGCGGATTAGCGATACAATTAATGGTCTGACCCTCTGAAATATGCGTTTTCATTTTCAATAAATACCGTAAATATATACTGTTTTGAACTGAAGTTCACTGAGCAGTGTTGCCTAACTCACGGCGGACAGCTGCACATATATCGAAATTAACTCGATATTAAGTGTTAATTAATGCGCGCTAAGCTCCAGTCTATTTGAAAATTATGCAAAATAAAGGTTCAATTGTTTTCCAAGTTTCGTTTGGCATCCTGGTAATCTGTATAAATTTCCATAACAAATTGGATTACTTTTCATTGTTTTTCAATTTTATGAATATTTAAATACATAAAGCAGCCCCAGTCAGCCCTAAGGGTAACATTCTGTAGCACAATGCCAATGTTATTTCCTTACTAAAATCATTAAAGCTTCAATTTAAATTCATTATTCTCATCCCCTCAAGGGAACAGAAGGTTTAACAACACCAAATTCGGTCTTTAAGATATTTTTATTGAAACAAATCTGACACAGTTTGAAGTTAATTAATTAATTAATTCATCGGTCATGGGTGATCATCTTGAATTCTGGAAAAGATTAACATTGCATTAGTAAGGAATTGGTATGATTTCTAAAGAATGCAACATTTAATTATAAATTTTCAGTATTTTTACATTTTGTAAAAAGAGTCAAGGTTCTTCAGCAATTTGTTTTATGAAGACCGTCATGATTTTATCATCAGAATATCAATTAAATATACATTTATATCTTGTATGGTAGTTGTATACACACCTTGGAGTTAAATGGTTGCCCGCAACGTCTGAAAATGCTGTGGAAACTAAGTGGACTGGACTGTGGAATAATAGCGATTAAAGTTAAATTTTTGTTTTATTCAAAAAGAATAATTTCTACAAATATTATCTTTTCCGCTGGTGTTTGTCCTCATTTAAAACTTCTTGAAGCTCTTCTTGGCGCCCTGACCCTTGTTGACTTTCAGAACATTGAAACGCACAGTCTTTGAGAGAGGACGGCACTCGCCAATGGTGACAATGTCGCCGGACTCAACATCTCTGCAATGAGACAAATTACCAATTTCCATTAGAAGCTATTTCCACCACTATTTCGCTGTACATAATCTCGGGTTAGTTTCGGGGGTTCGTTCAGTATTTTTACATTTAGTAAAAAGAGTCAAGTTTCTTCAGCAATTTGTTTTATGAAGACCGTCATGATTTTATCATCAGAGAGTTGAGACTGTAAATTCATTGCGAGTGAGTCGAAGGTGTTCAATATTACCTGAAAGCGGGCGAGCAGTGGACGCTCATGTTGCGGTGACGCTTCTCGAAACGACTGTATTTGCGCACAAAGTGCAAATAGTCACGACGAATAACAATGGTACGCTGCATTTTCGCCTTGCGGACAACACCAATCAGGATGCGACCACGGATACGCACATCACCAGTCCAGGGGCACTTCTTGTCAATGTAGGTACCATCGATGGCCTGCGATGGAGAGAATAAACATATTAGTTGTGGAATACGTTAGCATCGAGTGTGGGGACTCTTCACCTCACGAGGGGTCTTGAAACCCAGACCGACATCACGATAACGGCGGAGGCTCTTCTTCTTGGTGACGCCAGGCTTCACCTTGCGGTTCAGGTTGACACCAAATTGTTTTTGGAAGGCGCGCTCGTTCTGGTTAGTGGAGGTGGGAGCGTATCGTGGGCGGGTGGCAGGCAGGAACGTTCAGCGTGCGGGATTGAAACGGAAACAAAACGAGGGGGGGCGCAACATTAGTCAAAGTTTGTCTCTGAACCTCTTACCTCGGCTGGAGCCTTAAAGCCCAAGCCAATTTGGCGGTAGAAGCGTGGCTTCTTCTTGAGATTGATGCTCTTGCGGCGCATTGTGGCCACCGCATGTTGTTTGCGGAATGCACGTTCAGTTTGCTGGAATACAGTTCGTGTACATTTTGTCAGATACCATGCGCTAAAGTAGGGTTAGGTTGAACTCTGTCCACTCTTTCCTCCTGCACATCACTTTATATCCTTCCATTTAAGGTCCATTCAAGACAACTCACTTACTCTCCCGATTGCACCACATACTTATCATACAGCCGACTCTAAACCGCTATAAATGATCAAATTTTAACACATTTCGCGAGTCTTACCTGGTCAGCCATGTTTTCGAAAAGAAAGGAAGTCAGCGATGTGACCGTGGATTTACCCTCTAAAATATACCGAAATATACTTTGTCATGTTTTAAAAATACCGTAAATATACCGAAGAAACAAGAAAAACTTAACCCACTTAACCCCCATTATTTACACAGTGAAAAACCTTCAATTAGACTCGAAAAATAGTACTGTTTTGAATACTCTTCGTGTAGATGCATCTTTTTCTTTACTTAAAAAAAGTATTACCACTATATCTTACACCTGAAGTGTGTAAAAATTGTTTCAAGTTTCATTATATTCGTGGAAATATTTAGAACCCCCGTGGTCGACCATGGGCTAATCGTTCTCTGTCCCTGATCGGAAATCATACATTTCGAAGTTCGGTTTCATATTGCTAGCCAGCTAAGACCCTCAGCACTGAACAAATAATTTAATCCGATTCATGAATCAAATTTCTCCAAGATTGGCTCTTATTAAGACCTTCTTTTTATTGGATTACTTCTATAATAAGGTTTAAGCAAATTCGGCAAACAAAAATGTCCCGGTTTTACGTGGTAACTACACGATAACTACATGTTTGTTACATATCAGTATATATAATATATCATGACCGCAGACTTACAGATAAAATATACCGCCTGACCTCCAAAAACATACCAAAATATACCATGCCATTATCAAAATAAATCGTAAATATACTGACGGATGCATTGATATTCCTTAATTTTGATATTCGGTTTAATATTACTGGCTAAGTGGCCCTCTCAGTGCAAAAAAAATAATTTTATCCAATTCCTCAATAAATTTTATTTAGGGTTGGCTAGTTTTTAGAATTTTTTTCATTGGATTGTTTACATAATAAGGTTCAAACAAAAACGGCCAAAGGATAAAACGTAAGTGTATACGTAATGTCACGTCATACGCGTTCCCGTTAGGAACATGCGGCTCACACCACTAAAAAGAAGGGAAAGTCACCACGAAAGCGCTCTCTTAAATTTCACCACGATTTGGAGGAGTTTGGCGGTCGTTTTGAAAAACACTTTATAGCTTAAAAATATATGGTCTGGGTGGCGGGTTCCTAAACGTCACGAGCATCTAGATAAGGATCAGTGCCGGAATCCCATTCGACACTGTGCGACGTAGGGAGTCGAACTCCTGGATAAGGGGCACGGGCTTGGGTCGCTTCTCAATGTTTGCCACTAGCTTGGACCAGGCACGGACATCTGCAAGCGCTCCTTCTATTCCAGTTTCATTTCCCCGCGCAGGCGATGAAGGCGCGCCTCCTGCTGCTCCTGCTAGTCCTGGTGATAGAAGACCCTCTAGCTGAGAAGCATGTCCTAGGTTTATGTTGCCATTCATTATGGTTTCATCGTCGTCTATCAAACCATCAACGCTTAGCTCTGCCAACGGATCACTGGCGTCCTCATCCTCCAGCTCATGGCAGAAGCTCATATTGGCATCGGGATCATTGTCCAGAAACCCAGGAACGTCATCTTCGCCGGCCACAAGGGAATGGGATGTGGGATGATGAGTTCGTTTTTGTGGCTTCATCAGTATTCTCGACTCCTGCGCAGTGGGTGCAACAAGAGTGCGATTTCTAAAGCCCGCTCAAGCTGGGCAATTCTTGAAGATCCACCACTTTGCCTTTCTCATTCTGGCGCGCATGAAAAGCCATTCCAATAGCTTTTAGTACAATTAGTAAAGATCAATAACAGGACTAGAGAATTGTAGACATTTTACCCAGACACATACAATATATTTTTGTTTTCTAGATGATGAAAAAATTGATTTCCTTTTTTTGGGAGCCATCGAACACTTTAGCTGAGAGCGGAGCTATTTAGCTACTCTGGCAGATAATATTAATCTTAAGTGCAATCAATTTGTCCCTTAAACTGAGATTTTTCTGCCAAGTCTTAGAATATTGCTTTACCACCTTCAGCGATTCAAATCTGGCGGGCAAAGTCGATGTAAGCCCGAACCGTGGTAAAATGTCAAATGTAAATGTAATTTACATAAATTCTTTCTATATTCTACACGAGTCCATGTAGAGGGCGCTTTTAGGCAAATGCAGGGTTGCTTTGGTGGGGCGTTAACTATTTGAATAATTTATTTCTCCCGGTTTTTAGATACACTTCACTTGAATTAGCATATTGCTGATTCGACTGTGCGCTTAGAAACTTTGTCTCTGCCATTGACCTTCATGTTAGCTGACGTCGCTAAAGCCAAGCCAGATATTTCTCTAGCGTCACTTGAGATGCTTTCTCGAAATATCCTTTGTGCCAGCGTTTGGTAGTTTTATTTTTTGTCAAGCACATCGTAGCTTGTGCTTCTCCCTACGCACGTACTTAAGAGGCAATCTCTCGTATAAAAAATGACAGCATACTACATAGCTTTTAAAGGAAATGCCTGTGCGCTAATTCTCTACATAGCTGAGGGGCCTGCAGAAAAATATGTCGGATTAAAAATAATGACAACATAAACGAGTGCAAGTGCACGTCCTTGAAATGCCTGCCAGTACCTCCCCTCCCTCTCCCTCACTCGATCAATCTCTCTCGTTTTGTTCTTTCTCTCTCTATCTCTCTGTCCTGACCAACCAAGGCGAAAGCTGCTGCAGCTGCTGTAAATCCGTTTAGGGATAAAACGTCACGAATGGAGGCTACCTGCAGCCTGCTGCCTGCATTTTCATTGCCATTGTTAAATGTCTGCA